ATAGAAGAAAATATCAGTCTGATCCACTCTGTGTTCTAAATCTCCTGGAAAATTGGCTTTATTCCTTTAAATTCCACAAAGGGTCTGGAATCCCTCTCTGTTCCAGGCCTGAAAAGCTGAGGTCATATTGTAGGAAATAATTTGTATCCATTGAATACTATTTATGGAGAGATTGATAGTAAGAATGTCACAATGTAGCTTTTTCAGGGTGATGAGAAGAAATGTTTGTAGTCAGTAGGAGACCCGAGTCAAAGTGCTTACTAAACTGTTACGTCATATTTTCCTTTCCATCAGTCATTAAATCATTTTAGTGTTTTGGTTTTTTTTTGTTGTTGTTTTTTCCAGTTAGTGTTCGGGGAATTTCTTTCACTTTCTTTTCTGTCTGACACGTCAGTGATATTTTCCCTCCAAACCACTTTTCTGTGTGAGAAACCTCCCAGAAGAAGATATACTATAATATAATGATGGCTTATAGTAGTTCCTTTAGGCTGCATTCACACCTAAGCGTTGAGGGGTTTTTTAGTGTTTGTGTTTTTGTACAGTGTTTTTAAACCGTTTTTGAGCTTTGGCATTTTTTTATTGTCCAATAGAGAAAATTATTGTCTGATTCATCATTGGTTGCTATATTTTTCCATTTTTTCTTCCATTTGTATTTATTGTACTTTTTTTTTTTTTTTTTGGTAACAGGTTAGGGGCTAAAAGTTAGGGGTTAATTTATTATTTTTGTTATTTATTTTGTTAGGTTAGGGGTTGCTCTTCCATTCACATTTATTTGTAAAGTTTAGGGGTTAATTTATTATTTTTGTTTATTTTGTTAGGTTAGGGGTTGCTCTTCCATTCACATTTATTTGTAAAGGTTAGGGGTTAATTTATTATTTTTGTTATTTATTTTGTTAGGTTAGGGCAGTGCTTCTCAAATAGTGGGGTGCACCCCCCAGGGGGGGCGCGAGGCTCCGTCAAGGGGGGCGCGTTTGACCTCGGGGAACATACCGTATTTTCCGGCGTATAAGACGACTTTTTGACCCTTGAAAATCTTCTCAAAAGTCGGGGGTCGTCTTATACGCCGTTATACGTTAGGGTGGAACTTTTTAGGGGGGGCGGTGCGGTGCGGTGCCGCCGCCCCCCCCCCCCCTTCTGACAGAAGGGACACTAAGTACAGGGGTGGGCAGAGGGCTGCTGTCTCTTACCTGGCTCCCACGATGATCCATCCAGGAAGCGCTGCTCCTTCCGTCACTCCGGCCACTCCCTCACTCCTGCCGCTCGGCTCCGCCTCCTCACCGGTGATTGGCCGCCAGAACTGTAGCTCAGGAAAGGTACACAGGCGGCCAATCACGGGCGAGGAGGCGGATACTATTTACAGTCGCGCGGGGGGCGCGAAATGTTTTCTTCTTCCTAGGGGGGGGGGGGGGGGGGGGGGGCATGACAGAAAATAATTGAGAAGCACTGGGTTAGGGGTTGCTTTTCTATCCACATTTATTTGTAAAGTTTAGGGGTTAATTTATTTACTTATCATTATTTATTTATTTTGTTAGCTTAGGGGTTGCTATGTTTTTCAGCTTTGTCATCCACATTTATTTATTTCTTTTTTTTTTTTTTTTTTTTGGTTATGGGTTGATTTTATTATTATTATTTACGTATGTATTTATTTGGTTAGGTTAGGTTAGTGGTACATATTCGAGTAAGGGGTTCCTTTTTTATTTACTAATTGGCTAATCAGTGATCACATGATTGAGACATCACACAGAGGTCCCATACAGCAATCTGTGTTCGGAGTACACAGCGGGCACCAGATCGTGGTGCCGCTCACTCCCAGGGAGCGCGCACAGGCAGGGAAGCGTGAGGACGTTTATAAACGGCCATTTACTCCTGCAATGCTCCCATCTGGCTGTTTATGTACATGGACCACACGGGAAGTGGTTAAAAAGCAATGACCACATGAGCTTTGCAAGGGTCTTTGACTCCTAAATTAGGTAGGCTTAAAACAAAAAAATTGTGTTCTTAGGGCAGGATGTAAGGATCTGATTTTAAAGCAGGACTACACTGTATCTGGGCTCCACAAACCAAAAGTACTATTTAGTTAATTTTTTAATATGCAAAACAAACTCCCCCATCCACCCGTGGCTCTATACTTTATGTTGATGAGAAATCACTTAGAAAAATACCCCCCTAGCCATGGCCATCTTGAGTAAGGGCAGGTAATTCATGTAGATGATTTCCTGGAATCCATTTGCCCTTAGCTCAGGCATGCAAACAGAAGGGCGTGCTTAGCTGAGAAAACCCCTCCCCTCCAGAAGACTCTTGGGATGTATGACATCATTTGCCTAGGCCAGAAACCAGGAAGTAACTGAAGAACTGTAAAAAAAAATGTACTGTAAATATGATATACTTTCCTATCCATTTACTAATGCTAGCAGCCTCAGGATTACATCAATGTTGATTGAGAGAGTGAAGTGCCACTTTTAAAGCTATTTTAGATTTTAGTTTTCATAATGGTAAAGTAGGTCTAAACTCAATCAATAAAATCTCATATAACACATTCATTTTAAAAATAGTCAAAACTGTAAATCTGTGTCTCCCATTTAAAAAAAAATAAAATCCTTGTGATCCTGCCATGAAGGTCTTTGTTCATGTACTTCCTGTTGAGTGAGTGATGATGCTTTGTCCTGTCTCCCAACTGCTCCCTGGTGTGTTACCTTGTCACTTGAGCTTTCCATAGACACTACAGATGGCTCTTTCAGCACACGTTATACAGACATGGTGCACTGTTGTCACCTTCAGGAAACCTGGCCAGAGAAACTCCATGTAGTCAATGTGGGGAATAGCATTTTGACAGTGAAAGGCTGTAGGGGATTCGCAGCAAGTCCTTATAATAGACAAAAAAAAAAGTAAGTATTTTAAAATGAGTGTTTTATTAAAAAAAGGAGATTGACACATCGCTTTGACATAAAACATGCTGTTCAGTTAGGTTTTAGTTCAAAGAGTAAGTCACCGTTCACACTGCTGCGATTTAAATCGCGTGTTTTGAATCGCGCGTTTTGTGTGCAAGTTTAGTGCGATTTCTGAAGACTTTATTTCTGCTTGTGAAAATTTTCTATAATTTCTTGCAGTTTGCAGCAGGGTGGATAAAAATCAATGATTTTTTAAAAAAATTTTTAAAAAATCAGATTTTTTTTTATTTAAATTGGATTTTTTTGATTTAAATCAGTTTTTTTTTATTTAAATTGGATTTTTTTGAATAAAATGCTTTTTGAGGAAAATATATTACCATCCAAAGGTTGTTCCATCATGAAATAAAGATTCGTTTTTTAATTATGTAGAATAAGGCTGTATATGTTTAATTTTTTTGGTAAATAAATTCCATGAATCCATTCACAATGTCATGCTCTTCCAGAGGTGTTTGTAAGATTATTGGGCAGTTTCTCTGCCTACAAGATATTATCACAGATGTTGGTTTACTTTTGCAGTTCTCAAAACTGAATTTGACTCAGCGGAGATCACATGCCTCTTCTTCACAGCAAAAATGTTATAACATGAACAGAGTTAAGAAAAAGACCTTCATCCTAACTTCTACAAACCTATGAATACAGAATCAACCCCTTCAGTGCTAAGTTTCAAGAAGTTCAGTGAATAGAATAGAAACAATATTTTTCTGATTGTTTGGAGTGGAATAGATCTGCACAAGAAGAAAGTGAAACTAAGTGTGAGGAGGAAGGGGCTGACAGTCTAAGTTTCTTAAAATATATATATTTTGTTTAGCCAAATTAGTTATCAAACATGGATGTTTAAGCAAATCACATATGCTGGAATGTTATTGTTTCAGATGAATAAATCTATTTAAATTGTTATTAAATTGATTATTTTTCTCCTTCCTAAGTACAGCAGAAAAGTTGTCCAAATATGAATGATTAACCTATTAAACTGGGGATAAAAAAACTAATATGAAAAGTTGTTATTCTAAAATTCTTCATCTACTTGTATATTAAAGTTATACCAGCAAGAATTAGTCTTTATGTAGAAAACTAGGATTTATATCAAGCCTTACTGACTAGTGATTTAAATCAAATCCACCCTGGTTTGCAGTGCAGTTTCCATTGTATTCTATGTATGTGAAATGACAACAAAACTGCAGAATAAGCAATGTAAGAACTGCTTTAGAAATCGTGCTGCAGCAAATCGCAAATGTTAAGACACTGACTCATTAGATGCGATTTCAATTCCCAAATCGCACTGGTGTGACCGGGCACTAACTCCACTTTGTTGAGGGAAAAAAAAAATACAATCCAATGGGTGATCTATGTACGCTGCAAGGATTTTACCAAACTACCTACCTGTTTCGGCTGTAAAGGAATACCTCCTTGTTAGATCAGGTCCTGTGCAGGACTCACTCTGAATGGGAGTGACTTTTTCATTTTTAATCAGCTGATGCACATACAGCAGGGGTGGGCAACTGTGGCCCTCCAGCTATTGTAGAACTTCAAGTCCCATGAGGCATTGCAAAACTGACAGTTACAAGCATGACTGTCAAAGGCAGAGGCATGATGGGACTTGTAGTTCGCCAACAGCTGGAGGGCCACAGTTGCCCACCCCTGACTTACAGGGTTCTAATGAGGAAAGTTGTAGGGTCTGCATCACTTTAGAAGTTAACTCTTTAGGCGCATCTCACCAAAATTAAATTGTTGCAAGGGATGCCTAAAATCTGATTTGTACCTTAGTTATATATATTTGTATATATATTTGTGTGTTTGTTTTGTGTATATATGTTGTTGTATATGTGTATATTTTTTTTATTTATGTGTGTGTGTGTGTATATGTGTGTGTGTGTGTATGTGTATGTGTGTATGTGTGTGTGTGTGTGTATATGTGTGTGTGTGTGTGTGTATGCATATGTGTGTGTTTATTTTGCAGTTTTTTTACCCACGAAAGTGGAATTACCCTTTAAGCTTGTTGTTGCACTGTTACTTTTTGGTCTAACAGATTTCTTTTTTTTTTTTTTTTTTTTCAGCCTTCTCTTGGGAATGCAAGCCCAGGTAACTTGTTTTATTTGTTTTCTTATTCCACAGATGTACACCTACAGTATATACAAACCATATTGCTTGGAATTATCAAAATGTAAAAGGAAAAAGACAAATAGAATTTACCATTGTCACAGGTCTGCTCAGGGCCAGGCCATGCTAATGTTCTGTTCTCGAATACTGGAAGCCCAGTCAGAGCGAATACCTGTGTTACTTTGCCATGTAATATGGCTGCAGACCCAAAGAGCCACCTAGGATCCTCCAAATCGGGGAGCACACCATTCTATAATTTAAGCACGGTTTATGTTCCAGCATTCTGGCCTACACCCCCTTTTCCTTTGTTGCTTCTTATTTGCCAGTAAGGCCAACCATCTTGTTTGGTGGCCAATACAAAAGCATGGGGTGTAATAGGGGGAGGGCATATTTTGGCTGGGAAAGCTGTGGCTGTTTGCATAACAGCACACACAGGTTGTTAGGGATCCCCAAATTCTGTGAAGATAATCTGAACATGTGACCATGTCGTCCACCATAGGAACCTGGGACCATAGTACATGGATTATTTAAATGGATACTTATTTTTTCACTGTCACTGATCAACATGGTTTCCTTTTTGGATTAGGAGGCTCGGCTGCATCCGATGACCATGAGTTTGACCCCTCAGCCGACATGTTGGTTCACGAGTTTGATGACGAGCGGACTTTGGAGGAGGAAGAGTTAATGGAGGGCGATGTGAACTTCAGCTCTGAGATTGAGCACTTGGAAAGGGTGAGTGAAATGGAGCATGTCTGTCTTTTATGGCCCTGAATTTGCCACTTTACAGCTCACTCCATTTTATAGCGCTAACAATATGCCGTAGAAATGTGCCATAGGTGAAATGTATCCCAGTAACCATGTCATTTGGGTGTTATTGGTGGCCAAAGTCCAAGTCTTCAGTCTCTAGTACATCCAGGTACGTTTAAGTAAAAACAATACATTTTATGTCAATAGCTCTGTCTTCCGGGTTGCTTTGTTTAATTTGTGCAGTATAAAATGTTTAAGGAATATGTAAACCCAACATTTCATATTCCTCATATGTGCCTGCTGTACCATGTACATGTATGAAGAATGATCCTGTTCTCTTTGTGTGAAATCCCTGGTGTTCCTGCAAGTCCCCCTGCTTTCCTATTCAAAACTGACCACACTAGGCAGGAGAACACAGCGTGGTCAGTTCTCTAGCTGTGCTGGGAACTCACATGCTCTCCTCCCAACGATCAGATGTCCGCTGACATTACTTCAATCCGCTTCAATGACAGCATCTCCTTTGTCCATTCAGAAAACTAGATGCATTGTGTGTGATAGTTGGAAGATAGGTTCCTTGAATGGAGAAGGGGGCAGCGCAATGTTTTTGTTAGTAGCAGCAGCTTCTGTTAACCTTCACAATGCTGAAAGAGAGCTGCCCAGGGTAGTATCTGGCATCTGTGAATGACATTTCACAAGATTGTTTTTTTTTTTTAGAAGCAGGTGATGGCGCACACACCGAATGCACATATTCGTCAGCACACCACAGATCATCAAATAATGTCCAAAATCTTTTATTGAAGAACGATCACATCACACCCCCCCCCCCCAAAAAATCGAACTAAACTGCAGCTTTAACGTGTCACTACACCTGTGCTTGTTAACTACATCCTTCTAGATCCCTAGTGTGAAACCTGTGGCTCATTGACACTTATTGTGTGGCAGTAAGGGTCTCTGCAGACAGTTTTCTATGTTTTGGTGCTTAAGACAGTGAGAGAAAAATATTCTTTAGACTGACTGAACTTGGGAAGCTCTGCCCAAAATAATCAGAGGACTAAGATATTGTCACCAGGATTACCTGTGGCAACTTTACAGCTGATCTTCCTCCATTACTGACTTACCAAGCCTTGTGCTGCACTGAGTCTGTGTGTATGTGGAAGCAGCCATCTTGGCAGAGACAGGGCTTTTCTTCCTCATGTCACAATCTCCAGCAAGGAGAACCGTGAGCAGCACCGCAGAAAAAGCACAAAATGTCTTTCCAAATCTGCAAAGGCAGAAGTGCTTTAGATCTCATGCCTCCGATATACAGCTACGAGGCTGTAGGCAGACAGTATGCCCTGGTTCACGCTGGATCGACCTTGAAATCTTGCGACTTCACTTGAAGTTGCACGATTTCAAAGTCAGAGGGGATTTCGAATTGTGGTGTGACTTGATAGACATTTATGTGACTTCATGCACAGACGTGTATGCAAGTTGCACCTCAAATTGGCAAAAGTAGTGCAGGAACTACTTTTCTAATTGGTGCGAACAGTTCCATTGCCGACAATTGCATGCAATTTTTCATGCGATTTGAATGGTCAAATCGAATGACAGTTCGCATCAGTGTAAACCAGTGCCAAGTGCTCCACTATTGTTCAGGAGTAATTCCAGACAAAAGATTTTTTTTCAGGGTACTGCTTAACTACATGCCGCCCAGCCACTGTACATATACGGCGGCAGGGCGGCACTCGAAGGCAAAACCACGTTTTAAAACGTGTGTTTTGTAAACAAATAGGGGGCGCGCGCGAGGCTGTGACCCGCAGATGTCAGTCGCCGGGTCACAGCCGCTCCTTAGCGGCTATGTCCCGGCGATCGGCGGCAAACAGTGACAGACAGCACAGCTGCAGTAGCTGTGCTGTCTGTCACTTCCCTGTCAGCTTGAGGATGAGCTGATCGAGAAAGAACAGTTTCTCTTTCTCGATCAGCCTTGTCCTGTCCAGTACACACCCCGCCCCCTAGTAAAACACTCCCCTCACTCCTATAACCCTTCCCTGCAAAATAAAGTTAACCCCTTCCTCCCCAGTGCCATTAGTACAGTGTCAGTTTTTTTTTTTTTTGCACTGATCACTGTATTAGTGTTTTTAGGGATGTCAGTGACCCCAAGTCAGTACCACCCAATGTCAGAATGTCCGCCGCAGTCCCGCCATAATTCGCTGATCGCCGCCATAATTCGCTGATCGCCGCCATTATTAGTATAAAAAAAAAACCCTAAAAATCCCAGTATCTTACCCGCCATTTGTAAACGCTATAACTTTCACGTAAACCAAGTAATTTACACGTATTCGGTTTTTTTTTAGCAAAGACATGTCGCAGAATGCATTTTGGCAGAAATTTGACTAAATTTGATTTTTGCATTTTTTTTTACTGGACATGTTTTATAGCAAAAAGTCCAAAATATTGTTTTTTTTTTTTCCTCAAAATTGTCAGCCTTTTTTTTTTTATAGCGCAAAAAAAAAATAAAAACCGCACAGGCAATCAAATACCACCGAAAGAAAGCTCAATTTGTGGGGGAAAAAAGGATGTAAATTTCATTTATGTACCATATTGCATGACCGCGCAATTGTCCGTTAAACTAGCGCAGCGCTGTATAGCTGAAAAATGGCATAAATTGCAGTATTTATACCATAGTTTGTAGACGCTATAACTTCCACACAAAGCAATCAATATACACTTATTGGGATTTTTTTTTACCAAAAACATGGAGCAGAATACATTTTGGCCTAAATTTATAACCAACTTTGAGTTTACTATATATTTTTTATAGCTGAAAATAAAAAATATTGTTTTTCTTCAAAATTTTTGGCCTTTTTTTGTTTATAGCTTGAAAAATAAAAAGCACACAGATGATCAAATTACACCGAAAGAAAGCTCTATTTGTGTGAAAATAAGGACGTAAATTTAGTTTGGGTGCAGCATTGCATGACCGCGCAATTAGTTGAATTAGTGCAGCGCCGAGTAGCAAAAAGAGGCCTGGTCATTAAGGGGGGAAATCCTCTGGAGGTCAAGTGGTTAAGAACAGTTAACATTTGTTGACGTCCTCTATAACAGAAAATCTTCACTGGTTGACTTTTTTTTTTTTTTTTTTTTTTCTCTTCTGGTTTATGAATGTCAACTGAAGCATGTTATCAGCCTCCAACAGCTCTTCTAATGAGTTCATAGCCCCTGATCATGTCCTGTAGCATGTTTGCACACTATGACCATCTCTTGTAGTATGCCTATAGTCTCTGACCGTCTTATGTTGCATGCCTGCAGTCAGCTTTCTGTAGAATTACATTTGTAAATGTGTGGCCCTTTCGGAAGTTGAGGCCCCTATATTCAGGAATGTTATAATGTTCTGTGCATTTAGGCACAGCTAGAGAACTGACCACACTGTGCTGTCGTGCCCAGTGTGGCCAGTTTTTAATAGGCAAGCAGAAGGACTGGTAGGAACACCAGGGATTTCACACAAAGGAAGAATTACAAAGAGAACAGGATGCTTTTTCATACAACTACATAGTACAAGCAGGCACATATCAGGAATACGAAATGTTGGGTTTACATACTCCTTAAGCTGATAATCCAAGTTGCTATTCTAGATACAGATGACTCGGAGTTCTCCTTTAGCAGCAGTCCAAAAGAAACTGTGATCTGTTTGTTCTTGCTGAATGATTGATTGAATAATATTAACAGTAACCAGCATTGCTTTTATTCCAGGAGAGTGAGATGCCAATTCATGAGTTATTAAGACTTTATGGCTACGGTAGCACAGTACCTCTACCTGGAGAAGAGGAGGAGGAAGAAGAGGATGATGAGGAAGAGGAGGACAATGATGGGAACAGCGGATGCAGCGGGGAGAATAAAGTGAGCATCAGACTACAGGAAACCAGTATAAAGGCAAATTCTGGCCGTAAAGCGGAGTCTTTCACTTCTAGTCAGGGCAAACTCATACACCTTACAGTGCATTGGATGCTTCAATGACTGAGAGGTGTGCATGCTGAAGCTGGCAAGCATCCCTGGTCTACTAAGTGAAGCAGTTGGTATCTCCTGACAGACTTGAGTTAAAGTAATTGTAAACCCACTTTTGTTAATCTTTACCGTTATAATAACGCTTACCTGTAGGTAAAATTGCCATTGCCGTGAAGAGTGTTTTTTTTTTTTTTTTTTTTTTTTTTTTCTTTTCTTTTTTTTATGTTTACTACCACTTTAAGGGCTGGGATGCGGATTAAGAGTTCATTTCAGAGGTTCATGTAAGTATTTGGTTTCAAGTAGGTGGGGTCAGGGTGTACTTAAAAGGGAGTTCCTGCCCCCCTCTCCCAAAAATTAAGTCAGCAGTATTACAAATACTGTAGCTGCTGACTTTTAATATTGGGGCACTTACCTGTCCAGGGATCCAGCGGTGTCTTCACCCCGAGCTGATTCTTCAACCGGCTGTTGGGTGCTGGCGCCGGCATCTTGACTAAGAGAAGCCGCCGGTGAAGCCAATTATTTACTGTCTGGCTCTCTTCTCCTCACTGTGACAGCACGTGAGGAAAAGGCTGCCGATAACCAGCAAGTCTGTTTTCAATGTGATCAGCTGTGATTGGCCCTTTATTATGTTCTTTGATCAGCTGTGTCCTTTGGACACAGTGGTCACAGAGCGTGGTGGGGGAGGGGGTTCTGGGAGGATGTCCATAAACTAGTGGTTAAAACACACTGCAAGCACAGAAAAATTCTTGTTCTGCCAGAATTCCAGCGTGCTCTTAACTTCCTATAGCAAGCTGGCAACACTGCTTCTGCTATAATGAAGTCCCAATTAGACTGAATTTTTATTTTTTTTATTTTTCTCATATAAAAAATACACTTTTTAGCAGGGATGGCTCAGAAGTTAGGAACTGTTTCGGGTTTTTTTTTTTTTTTTTTTTTTTCTTCGCTTATTTTGGTTGCCATAATTCCAATCTATGTGTTTTAGAAATGTTATGTTAAAATCTCGCTGATAGCAGAAATGAGCATTTTCCGGTGCTTCCAGTTCATAAACTACAAGACCCAGCATGCCCTGCTAGTGACTTGTCCTGGCTAAAGGTTGTGTTGTGCCCTTGGCTGATTTGGCTGATTTAGCTGGAACCTACTTGTTTCTGTGCAATACTAATGGATTTTTTTTTTTTTTTTTTTTTTTTAAGGATGAAACTGTCAAAGATTCATCTGGTCAAGAAGATGAGGCTCAATCCTCTGATGAGCCAGCGCCATCTGCTACTCAAGACGCACCAGAAGTTACCCGGTCTCGGCGATGCAAGTACTTTGATACCAGTAAGTCTCTCCTTTAGACTCTTGCTATTCCGTGTGATTGAGAGGTCATTCCGGGCTAATGTGAAATGAAAATGTATTTTTCTCAGATAACGAAATAGAAGAGGAGTCTGAAGATGACGAAGATTATATTCCTTCAGAAGACTGGAAAAAAGTAAACTTTTGAAATTGTCCTATTTCTTGAAATAGAGCCATGAGCCTATAATTCTCTTTCAGTTTTTGCATCTGAACACACACAAAGCTCTGGTTGTGGTATAGGCAGTTGTCTTGATGCTAAACCAAATCATGGCAGCTACATCGTGATTGGGTGTTTAAAGCAGAACTCCAGTTTGGATTCTTTTCTTCTTCACTAATTCTTCCATGTTCTGCATGCAAGGTACCCTTGTGCACTTTCCTCTGGCAGTAGCTTTTTAGGAACTTCCTGCTGCATATTTGAGCCTCAGCAGCTGCTTCCAGTCCATCAGAGTGTGGGCTTCCCCGCTTGGCAGAAATTGATGCTGTCAGAATACAATGTACAATGTTCCGCTGGGGTATGGAGGGAAGGTGGCCGGGATTCTTCCATCCACCTTGTTTGTTTTTTTTTTTTTTTTTTTTTTTTTTTCCATTCAGCCTGTTGGCTGAATGAAGAACAATCAACAGTGTATGGCAAGCTTTAAGTATTCCTTGCAAACCTACATAAAAAATGAACAGATTCCTCCATCTATGCTGTCCTACGTGAATGGACGAATCTGTACTGTATTGTGGCAGCTGTCAGAATACCCAAACAGTGACTGCATCTGATGCAACCATTGTTTGGCCAACAATTTCCTGCCCTGCTCCTTCAAATTTTTAATTGAAGAACATTGGGAGGTAGGGTGCCAACAGGGCCTCCCACTATTTTGGCTGTTTTAGCAGGTATGGCCAGCTTCATTCCTTAAATTGATTTTTAAAAACCCCTGTCGGCGTTCCTCCCCCTCTGCCCAGAGGAAACCATCGCTGCAGCCTTTGGGTGTACAGCAGCCTGTCAGGCTGCAGGTATACTCAGACTGTAGTGCCAGCTTGCTCCAGTGTCCCTGATCACTGCCCCAGAGTAATGCCAACAAACAATTAAGCCAGCCTATCACCTGTCCCAGTTCTCACAATGACACCGACATACACCAAACCAACATCACTGCCATGCCATACCCCATACCAGCGCCCTGATCACTGCCATACATCATACCAGCGCCCTGATCACTACCATACACCACCAGCGCCATACATACATACCAGCGCCCTGATCACTGCCATACACCATACCAGCGCCCTGATCACTGCCATACACCATACCAGCGCTGCCATACAACATACCAGCGCCCTGATCACTGCCATACACTATACCAGCGCCCTGATCACTGCCATACACAGCCATACCAGCGCCCTGAACACTGCCATACCCCATACCAGCGCCCTGATCACTGCCATACAGCATACCAGCGCCCTGATCACTGCCATACAGCATACCAGCGCCCTGATCACTGCCATACAGCATACCAGCGCCCTGATCACTGCCATACAGCATACCAGCGCCCTGATCACTGCCATACAGCATACCAGCGCCCTGATCACTGCCATACAGCATACCAGCGCCCTGATCACTGCCATACAGCATACCAGCGCCCTGATCACTGCCATACAGCATACCAGCGCCCTGATCACTGCCATACAGCATACCAGCGCCCTGATCACTGCCATACAGCATACCAGCGCCCTGATCACTGCCATACATCATACCAGCGCCCTGATCACTGCCATACATCATACCAGCGCCCTGATCACTGCCATACATCATACCAGCGCCCTGATCACTGCCATACATCATACCAGCGCCCTGATCACTGCCATACATCATACCAGCGCCCTGATCACTGCCATACATCATACCAGCGCCCTGATCACTGCCATACATCATACCGGTGTCCTGATCACTGCCAGACATCACACCAGCACCCTGATCACTGCCAGACATCATACCAGCGCCCTGATCACTGCCATACATCATACCGGTGTCCTGATCACTGCCAGACATCACACCAGCACCCTGATCACTGCCATACATCATACCGGTGTCCTGATCACTGCCAGACATCACACCGGTGTCCTCATCACTGCCAGACATCACACCGGTGTCCTCATCACTGCCAGACATCATACCGGTGTCCTCATCACTGCCAGACGACATACCGGTGTCCTCATCACTGCCAGACGACATACCGGCGTCCTCATCACTGCCAGACGACATACCGGCGTCCTCATCACTGCCAGACGACATACCGGCGTCCTCATCACTGCCAGACGACATACCGGCGTCCTCATCACTGCCAGACGACATACCGGCGTCCTCATCACTGCCAGACGACATACCGGCGTCCTCATCACTGCCAGACGACATACCGGCGTCCTCATCACTGCCAGACGACATACCGGCGTCCTCATCACTGCCAGACGACATACCGGCGTCCTCATCACTGCCAGACGACATACCGGCGTCCTCATCACTGCCAGACGACATACCGGCGTCCTCATCACTGCCAGACGACATACCGGCGTCCTCATCACTGCCAGACGACATACCGGCGTCCTCATCACTGCCAGACGACATACCGGCGTCCTCATCACTGCCAGACGACATACCGGCGTCCTCATCACTGCCAGACGACATACCGGCGTCCTGATCACTGCCAGACATCATACCGGCGCCCTGATCACTGCCAGACATCATACCGGCGCCCTGATCACTGCCAGACATCATACCGGCGTCCTGATCACTGCCAGACATCATACCGGCGTCCTGATCACTGCCAGACATCACACCAGCGCCCTGATCACTGCCAGACATCATACCAGCGCCCTGATCACTGCCATACATCATACCGGCGTCCTGATCACTGCCAGACATCACACCAGCACCCTGATCACTGCCATACATCATACCGGCGTCCTGATCACTGCCAGACATCACACCAGCACCCTGATCACTGCCATACATCATACCGGTGTCCTGATCACTGCCAGACATCACACCGGTGTCCTCATCACTGCCAGACATCATACCGGCGCCCTGATCACTGCCAGACATCATACCGGCGCCCTGATCACTGCCAGACATCATACCGGCGCCCTGATCACTGCCAGACATCATACCAGCGCCCTGATCACTGCCAGACATCATACCAGCGCCCTGATCACCGCCAGACATCATACCAGCGCCCTGATCACTGCCATACACCACCATACCAGCGCCCTGATCACCGCCAGACATCATACCAGCGTGCCGCATTTTATGGTCTTGACTAATCAATTTTCAAATATATATCCCATAGACTGTATATTCTATAACACTCATGCTAACTAAATAATATACACTGTTTTGTATTATGTTTACCTAAAAAATGTAGCAGAATACATTTTGGCCTGAATTTATGAATTAATATTATTTGCTAAATTTTATAACAAAATCTAAGCAAAAGAAAAATATAATTAAGTGTGAGATAGCTGAAAGTTGGCCTGAACTGTAAAGGGGTGAAAGTGCCCATACTTAAAGTTGTTAAGATGAGATTGGTTGTCATGTGAACAAACTCCTTGCACTTTACACTTGCAGACCTTTTCAATAAGTTTGCTTGTAAATGTCATTGTTCATTCCATGTTCATCGTTTTTCAATGTTCAGATGTACATTTGACAGCATTGCTTAATTTGTGTCCTTTCAGGAGATAATGGTGGGTTCTATGTTCCAAGCCGAAATCCCTGCTGGCATTAGCAAATATCGAGAAACAGAGAAAGGTGAGCAGCGCAAAAGAGTCTTTCATTATGACCAGATTGCTTTTTCCCACTTCATAAAAGCTAATTCTTCCAAGGCAGATTTTATGAGTCAACCATTGTCTTTGTAGCTGTTAGTGACTAGTCCATGCATGTTGTACATTTTACTTTTATCTTTTTTTTAATAGTGTTTAAAGTAGTATTAAACCGTCAGCTTTGTTTGCAGCAATCTATTCTGGACCATTAAGAAAAGGCACTTTTCAAATCATGTCTCTAATGACTTGCAGTCAGATGTTGTAAAATCCATTCCCTCTAAGTCAGCATCTCCAGACACCCGGTCTGGAAGGGCGCATTGAACTTTTTACAGCATTGTCACTTGACTGGCTGCATCAAGGCTACCTTTCCCATCATTCCTTGCTCCCTGTCAGCTTATAATTTGACACCTGACTCCTTGTATTCCACACAAAAATACTTACCTGCCACTTTATTAGGTACACTTTGCTAGTACCAAGTTGGACCCCCTTTTGACTACAGAACTGCCTTCATTCTTGGTGGCTAAAGCTGGCCATACACGTGTAGATTTTCAGACGATAATATTCTTATGAAAATTCTTTGAACATTCAGTGAGTGGATGAATGTCGTCCAAAAATTGGTTTTTGCTTTTAACATTTGAGTTTAAAATGAATGTAATTTCTGAACGATAACCACATATACTGGCTGAAATGAGAAGTTTTCTTTCCTGCCTCTTCAAAATTTCCCAGCACTCTGTCGAAAACAAACATCTGTTTGACCCCACTAACGATTAGAAAATCAAACGAATATTCTTGAAATGAAAATTCTAGAATAAAAATCTGTATGTGTATGGCCAGCTTTAGATTCAACGAGGTGTTGGAAACATTCCTCAGAGATTTTGTTCCATATTGACATGAGTTACTGTTGCCTTTCTATCAACTCAAACCAGTATGCCCAGTCTTCTTTAACCTCTGACATCAACAAGGTATTGTCGTCCACAAAACTGCCGCTTACTGGATATTTTCTCTTTTTTGGACCATTCTCTGTAAACCATAGAGATGGTTGTGCATGAAAATCCCAGTAGATCGCAGTTTCTGTAATACTCAGACCAGCCTGTCTGGCACCAACAACCATGTCACGTTCAAAGTCACTTAAATCCCCTGCTGCCATGTGATTGGCTGATTAGCAATAAACAATAAAGTGGCCAGTAAATGTAGTTTAAATTACACCTTGTATGTACAGGGTTGGGGTCTCTCTCTCTCTCTCTCTCTCTCTCTCTCTCTCTCTCTCTCTCTCTCTCTCTCTCTCTCGAGAGAGAGAGAGAGAGAGAGAGAGAGAGAGAGAGAGAGAGAGAGAGAGAGAGAGAG